CAGGTCTACCAGGACTGAAGGCCAAGACTGAGTACAATGTAACCAAATGGGCTAATGAATATATTGATTGCATAGGCTTGTGCAACGGGTATGTTGGATGTGCCCAGGTACCCCAATGTTTGTTTAAAAAATAAAAAGATTGGGGATCAAAGGAAACCAACTGAGAGAGAAATAGGCAGAGTAAAAAGGCTGGAATGGAACTTGCATGGATCTGTAGCTACTGCCTGAGCCTGTTTTTGGAAGCAGAAGTGGGGTGGAGTCAATGGGAAGAACCGTTCTGGAACTCGGTGGGTCATGGCAAAGTTTTGTAGAATCTGGCCGGTCACACATGGAAGCTGCAACAACACATATTTACTGGTCAGCTCAGTAAAGTAATGAACTGGCTGGCAATCTAACCAGCAACCACATTGTACATTCTAAGTGGGTGGCCACACACTACCACCTTGGTTGTCATTCATGCAACACCTGCTATGCAAGCTCAGCTGCCTTTTAGATTATAGATGGCATGCAGTCCAGCTGCTCCAAATTCGTTAGACTTATTACTGAGACAAGATAAAGTACAGCAAAATTGAGAGGGGACTTCAGCAGCATTAACTGGCAGCATTCAAATTCACTCATGAAGCCAGCAGGAATTTGGGCTATCTGTGTTCTTTAGTCCTTTTTTTTCTGGGGCTGTTTCAAATTTATATTTTAAGTAATAATCCCTGTGTTAGATTATTGCAAATAAATTTCAGCGAGCCCCTTAACTGTAGTTAGCCACCTTCCATGTTTGTGAAAAGGATCTAAACCTGTTTTGTATGAAATGCCACGTAGAGACATCAGAATCTCTTGGTGTTATACCTACAGAATCTTATTAGACTTTTCAGTCATATCAACCATATGAATCTAGGCAAACATAGCAGGGCCCCTGTTATCTGTGTTTCCTATAATTCAAGGTGACCTAAATTCATTGCATGCCCCATCACCTGGTGTCTAGATAGCATTGTTAGCATTCCCGTTCACCCAAACTATTAGTTGCCTTAACATCACGTGCATGATCCTTCCCCAAAAGGCACAATCAAGCAAAGCTTAAGAGATTCCTCTTCTCTCCTCCACTTAGCACATTGCTCCAGACCATTATGGGGAATTCTGTACCTGCCTGCCAATCTTTGTTCAATCCTTTCCCTCAAAGAACATAAGTTCAGACATCACTTTCCTTCACTGAACAGAGGTGTGGATTGGATAGGGATATGGGAGAGTTAATATTTGACTGCCTTATTATTGCCTGCTGGCTTTAGATTTACTCATACAGTATTGTTATTTTTTAAAGGGCAGACTGGAAAGAAATACAGTGGTACCTCGGGATACATACGCTTCAGGTTACAGACTCCGCTAACCCAGAAATAGTGCTTCAGGTTAAAAACTTTGCTTCAGGATGAGAACAGAAATCATGCTCCGACAGTGTGGCAGCAGCAGGAGGCCCCATTAGCTAAAATGGTGCTTCAGGTTAAGAACAGTTTCAGGTTAAGTACGGACCTCCAGAACGAATTAAGTACTTAACCCGAGGTACCACTGTACTAATAATGATGGCATGCCCCTCTTGCCCCTTAACAGCCCGCTACAGTGCTCGCACATGCATATGTCAAGGTTTGGAATTGTTATACCAACTGGGAATCCTTCCATGGGTGAATAATGTATAATTTACCCATCGTTATCACAGGATCAGAAGTTCACATCAGTTTGTTCATAGAACAAGTATAGGTGGTAATCTGAATCAGCCTGTCCGGTACCCATAAGCCACTGAGTGACTGTGCTGGTTCCCTGCACTGATTGCTGCTGGGACATAGGCTAGGGCATATTCAGTGGAAGAATTTTGCCCTCAATGAATTATTCTAATTCTAAATATTCACTCTCTCTGATGCCTCTTCTCCCACTCCCAGAGCAGGAACAGGGAATCTGGGAACGCCAACTCCCATCAGACAGCATGTCAGGGATGAATGCAGCTGAGAGCCAGCTACATATGTTTGCATGTCTGTGAAGTATACCATCACTGTCCTCATGGGCATAGTCAGCAGGGGCAGCTGCCCAGCTGCAGTGGTGGAGTTAGCTGCATGAGTGCCCGGAGCGGTGGCCATGCCATGCACCCGGGGGGGGCTATCCACTGTGCAGGGGGCGAGGCGATCCCCGATCCATCATGCGCTGTGGCTGCGGGGAGCAGGGCGAGCCCTCCGCAGTGTGCCTTTTTGTCACCCCCCTCAGAGGTGAGACCTGGGGTGGACTGCTCCCACTGTCGCCCCTTCCTACGCCCCTGTCCAACTACCCAGCTGCCCCCTAAATCAATAAAAATACATAACTAACTGGGGTTCTGCCCCCCCAGACAAAAATCCTGGCTACACCCATGATTATCCTTGAGGTACCTTGCCCCCAGCTCCCATTTAGGATTATTGTTGCTGAGGGAACATCGTGTCTAGAAGCCCTTACCCTATCTAGAAACATCTTAGTGCAATGAGATAAAATTTCCATTGCACTTTTTTTTCAGATGGGACTTCTTTTTCTTTTCATTTTCCCCCCATTATTGCTCAAACAGAGCAGAAGGGTTTGTCCAGTTTTTTAAAAAGTCAGTTCTTCAGAGGCATGTTCTCATGATAGAGCTAAGGGATAGGGAGATGCACTGGAGCATGAGAAAGGTGGAGGGTATTCTGGGTAATGGTAACAGCCGACACTTAGCATTAACTCAGGGAGGGAATGACTTGATTGTGGGTGGTCAGCTAAAAATACAAAACCTTTGAAACAGTAAATGTTTTCTGATCCATCAAACTGTGTTCTGTATGGCTCGTGCTGGGCTGATGTGAAATGCTGCTAATTCTAATGAACTTGATGTAATGCAATATATCAATAAGTTGTTTTTTAAAAGAAAGCTTTCTTTGAGGTCAAGAGCTTGAACACACGAAGAGAGAGTCAGATTCAAACAGGGGATACCTGATCCAAATTATTGGCCTTTGTAACAGCTGGGTTTATGCCTCTAATGCCATTTTAAGGGGCTCCTTTAACAGTGAATTAAGTGTGCCATTTGTTAGCAGAAGTTGTGAGTATATTAAATGCATAAGTGGAGGGGGGGATATTCAGGTTTCTGACACAAAAGCTGGATGGCTGAACAGAACATACTAAAATATTTTTCTCTAAGATTAAAATATGTATGTATGAACTAGATGTCTGTTAAAGACCCACGGCAAAGGTGACTTATGCATTGCTTAAATGATATTCCCACCACCCTTATGCACCTCAGCTTTTATACTGCAGGAAGCACTGAGACAAAGTAATCTACAGAGCTCTCCAAACCGCTATCCAGTGCCTGTTCTTCAAGCCTCTGTCTGCACATTTCCAAAATGTTCATGTCATTTGGTAGATTCAGAGCATGCACATATGCCACATGGGCCTATGTTCTGGGGGTGAAAATATTGATCTATTTCTGGTCCATGTCAATTTCACAGGCGCCGTTGCTGCACCAATCTGTAAATTTACAGTGGTACCTCAGGTTACAAACACTTCGGGTTACAGACTCCGCTAACCCAGAAGTAGTACCTTGGGTTAAGAACTTTACCTCAGGATGAGAACAGAAATCGTGCGGTGGTGGCGGCAGTGGGAGGCCCCATTAGGTAAAGTGATACCTCATGTTAAGAACGGTTTCAGGTTAAGAACGGACCTCCAGAACGAATTAAGTTTGTAACCAGAGGTACCACTGTACTTAAGTTGCACTACTTCTAAAGTGTTTTTTAAAAACAAAATATACCTTTTTTATACATTTTACCCTAAAACATATGCTTTGATACACCTTTTGAGCCAATAACCATATAACAAAATTCAGAGATGTGCAAACATTGAAGAATAACCACATTCCAATCTGCATATTATGCCAGTAAAACAGGTCAGTTTACTTAGGTGGAATCTGCACACATATTAAAAAACGCTGTGAAAATGTTTTACAAAAAATAAATCAAAAAATATGTTGAATTTGCCATAGCTCACCATAGACATCTAGTGTCACATGTGTATTGCACTTTACAACACACTTAAAACATTTTATTTGGAGCTGTAGAGTTGAGTCCTTCAATATGCAGACTGGATTGAATCCTTGAGTATCCCTACTCTGAACCCCATCCACTTTAAACTATTTAAATAATAAAATATTATATTAAAGTGAGAGAATGGAAGTGCTCTCACATATGGCTGGGAGATCTGAAATAAGGATTGAGTCTTATCTACCCCTGATCCAATACCTTTTTCTCTAGTGGACATTCCAAAAGTCACTGAGACATACATAGACAGCTGTGTTAGATTACAACTCAGAAAATCATCTGCAAGGAAATATTTTTGCTTCTAGGAGCTACTGAAAATGAATTTCTATTATAAATATGCAGAGGCACTATTTTGACCTGATTTTTATGATGAACTGGTTTTGAATTGCTGATTTTTTATTGTCAAACTTAAATCAAAATTGAACACCACTAAGGCTAAAGAGGTGTTGCTGTTGTTGTTGTTTTTAAAAAAGGAGCAAAACACACACAAAACACACATATTTTCTATTACTTATTTTCGTTTAGCTTGTTTCCCGGACCTCCTCGTACCTCCCTTTTTTGTATTCCACTTCAATTTATTAGTTCAGCAAATCCTTACCATTAGATTTTAACCCATTTATAACCCTTTTTTATATTCTCTTAGAGCATTACAGCTAGAAACCGCTTAATTACTATCCAACATCATTCTATCATTCATTAATTTTACAATATTTCTGTAAATAGTCTTTAAATTTCTTCCAATCTTCTTCCACTGACTCTTCTCCCTGGTCTCGGATTCTGCCAGTCATTTCTGCCAATTCCATATAGTCCATCACCTTCATCTGCCATTCTTCCAAAGTGGGTAGATCTTATGTCTTCCAATACTTTGCAATGAGTATTTTTGCTGCTGTTGTAGCATACATAAAAAAAGTTCTGTCCTTCTTTGGCACCAATTGGCCGACAATGCCCAGAAGAAAGGCCTCTGGTTTCTTCAAGAAGGTATATTTAAATACCTTTTTCAGTTCATTATATATCATTTCCCAGAAAGCCTTAATCCTTGGGCACGTCCACCAAAGGTGAAAGAATGTACCTTCAGTTTCTTTACATTTCCAGCATTTATTATTGGGCAAATGATAGATTTTTGCAAGCTTGACTGGGGTCATGTACCACCTGTATATCATTTTCATAATATTCTCTCTTAGGGCATTACATGCCGTAAACTTCATACCTGTGGTCCATAACTGTTCCCAGTCAGCAAACATAATATTATGTCCAACATCTTGTGCCCATTTAATCATAGCAGATTTCACCATTTCATCCTGAGTATTCCATTTCAACAGCAAGTTATACATTCTTGACAAATTCTTAGTTTTGGGTTCTAATAGTTCTGTTTCTAATTTTGATTTTTCCACCTGGAAACCAATTTTCTTATCCAGATTATATGCCTCCATTATCTGATAATAATGAAGCCAGTCTCGCACGTTCTTTTTCAATTTCTCAAAACTCTGCAATTTCAGTCTATCTCCGTCTTGTTCCAAAATTTCCCAATATTTTGGCCATTTGGCCTCCATATTGAGCCTTTTCAGAGCTTTCGCTTCCATCGGTGACAACCACCTTGGGGTTTTATTTTCCAATAAATCCTTGTATCTTATCCAAACATTAAACAGTGCTTTCATGACAATATGATTTTTAAATGCTTTATGTGCTTTGACCTTATCATACCATAAATATGCATGCCATCCAAATACGTTGTATTTTTCTCTTTTCTTTTTCATTTTACTGTAATATTTCAAAAAACCTTAATAAATATCTTACAAAACACACACAAAACAGAGAATGGGATTAATATTTTGCATCATGAAATGTAGCATCAGTGGAACATGAATAACATCCAGATGTGATTCAGAAAGTGTGCAGGTGATCAGATTTGGTATTGGGAACAACAACAGCATCAACAAAAAGGGCAATCATTTCTTAGTTTGAAAACTTTTGCGGAATATATTTTTCTGGCAATCCAGTTTAGTAATATTCTGAAGAGATGCACAGATCTACAGATGTAATCTTCGTCTTGAGCATGACCGATATCATACATTTTCTGCACTTGTTAGAGAAGGTGACTTATTGTCTGCTCTCAGTTACATCTTACAGGAATATTACAATGAATGCATACAGTGCCTGCCATCTATAGAGAGTAGCCTGTATTGCAGATATTCTGAAATCACTTACACTAGAGTAGCTCCTTAGAGAGCATTAATGGATTTAGGCTTGTGATCCAGTGGAGATTGTGTGAGAGCTGGGAGAAAGTGTTTTCAGCATGTAAATAAATAATAGAGTGCATTTTAGCATGTCTGCAATGCATATCCTTCATCTTTCTATAACCAAATTTTACCCCCCAAAAATTAGGGATTAGGGAAATCTGGCTCCATAGAATCATAGAATTGTAAAGTTAGAAGAGACACCAAGGGTCATCTAGTTCAACCCTCAACTAAAGCATCCATTACAGATGGCCATTCAATCTCTGCTTAAAAACCTCCAATGAAGCAGAGTCCACAATCTCCAGAGGGAATCAGTTCTACTGTTGAACTACTCTTAGTATCAGAAAGTTCTTCCTGGCATTTAGCTGGAATTTTTTATGTAACATGAAGCCATTGGTTCAAGTCTTACCCTCCAGAGCAAGAGAAAACAAGCTTGCTCCATCTTCCAAGTGACAGCCCTTCGGGTACTTGAAAATGGCTATCATATCTCCTTCTCCGTCTTTTCCAGGCTAAACATACCCAGTTCCTTCAACCGCTCCTCATAAGGCTTGGCTTCCAGACCCTTGGTTGCCCTCCTCTGCTTCCAGGTGAGATGTTGTGGTTTTCCATTAGGTTTGAACACAATCTCACCTATTTTATTTTATTTATTATTTTTTCACAACATCCCTGCAAAGTAGATCAGGCTGAGAGGTAATGACTGGTCCATTCTTAAAATCTAGACTATCCCTCCACACACACCCCAATTGCAAATGCCATGTTTAATACTAAACATTTGTAGCTATTGCCTAGCTTCAGCTTCCTCAAAGGAGTTCTATCCAAGTGCAGTTTTCAACACTACTTGAGAAACCATTGCACCATAAATTAAATTTACTCTATTATTGTGCTGATATGATCTGCTTTCTGACAAGTCATTTTTATCTCGGTTCTGTCCAATTTCCAGTCGACAGTTCATTGTATTGTAGGGCAGACGTGAGTTATTAATGTTGACAAGCCTCGTAATGAGATCTCTTTTATCCAACAAGATATCATTTGTATCATTTCCTATTATTTTCTGCCCCTCTGGCTACTTCTGAAGGTTGAGCCAAGAATGAAGCAAACTGCATTAACCAAACTTTCTTGGAATAGTTATGAACCTGGATTCTGGGACTTTTCTTTGTTCCACAGTACATAGGCAAGTATTATAGTTGTATTGCACAAAAGGACTCACACAATTACTTATTGAAGGTTAAATACAGTACAACCCTGGTGGAGAGCCAAGCTTTGATAAAATGACATAAAGCAAGCACATATTTTTACATAATTGAAGTGTGATGTAAGTTAATGATGTTAACCTACCATGAGTACTTAGGATGAAAGTTAGCAAAACTGAAAGCCGCTGTCCTGAGGTTGAGACAACAGCAAAGTGATCCAGAGGAAAACAACCATGAAGTCTTTTATCCTGTTCCACAGCAGTCCTATCCTGTAATTTTTGGCTTCCTTTTTCTCACCCTTTATAAAAATATTCAGCCTTTTTTTTTTTTGGTCCCAAGCTTGGGTCCTTCCAGACCTCTCTTTTAGCAATGCTAAAAGAGCCATGCCAAAAGTATTTCAAAAAGTATTAGGAGGAAGCAGGGAGGAGGACATCTAACCCCCCATCTCCTTTTCAATGTCCATCACCATGACAGAGCTTTGCAGATGTGCTGTTGGGGGGGCAGACAACCCTACAACCCCCATTTATTGTCAGCCCTTACACTGCCAACCTATACATGGCCCTTCATGTAGACCCACTTAACTTAATATGGCCTATTCCCAAACAAGTGGGTATAGGCATGGGCGTAGCTGGGGGGGTGAGGGGCAGGTGCCCCCCCTCCGATCATGTAAAACAATACTTAACTAACTGACCAATCATGTCAGTTCTCCCCCCCCAACAAAAATCCTGGCTATGCCCGTGGGTACTGGATTGCAGTCTTGGCATGCAAACAGCTAATTTCAATTATCTGCATGTGGACCACAGCAGAGGACACACTCTGAGTATGGAAAGCTAAACATTCCGCAGGTTCGATTTTTTTCTTTTATGTTGGTGGTGCCAAGGGCAGGGGAGGGTGCATCTGGAAAATTTTGGTTATCAGTATCATCCTGCAAGTGGGATGAGAATCAAAATGTGCTCTGTATAACTCCCTCCCCAATAGGAGTGCTCCTGTTCAGAGTTCTATCAAGTCAGTCATGCCTCCCCTGGCATGTTCCACTTCCCCCCCACTCCAGTTATTTCCCCACTGATGCCCAACATTCTGCATCTCTAGGTGTCCACTGAGCATGCTCAAAGCTCATTGGGTTGTTGGGTGGGGATGGGGTCAATCAGATGGGTAGTCAGATACTCCTACTACTATTAACAATCTATTCTTGATCAACATATATGTCTCATGAACAAACCAATTTATATTGGTAAAGCAAATGAAGTTCTGGAGGGACTTATCTGATGTATTAGCACCAGGTACAATTACAGTCCAGGTCTGCACAGTCACAATCTCTCTTTCTCTCTCTTGACAGATTATGGTATCTGATGGCCATTACAAAGTTTCAGCAAATTTCTTGTGACGGCCAAATGGTCAAGCAGCTTAATTCCAAAGGCACTACTGAGTCCTTTCTTTTAAACTAAGGACCCCTCCACATTACCTTTTGTGTGCATGCATGACTCACAGTGCTCCATGCCTTAATGCGTGCTCTACACCACCTCTACTTGTTTTCTTGATGAAAAATTTCGCATTCAGTTGTTCTGCAATACATTTGCCACTCTAATTACGCAATTTTCGAAGAGTCTTAATTTGGCTATCAGTCTGCTGTCAAAACTTGAATTTTTGGTTTGCAAGATAAAAGGCTCCCTGGCTGCAGAATGTTTACTTTTCTGGCGCAGAATTTTTGAGGCGCTCATTGTCTGTGGGACAAGAGATTGAGCAAGATCTACTGAGATAATAAGTTATCGGTACTACAGGGTGAACAGAAAGGCAAAGTATTGACTGCCTGCATTCTCTCTTACAGACTCACACAAACTAATATTAAACAAATGTGAACATTCTTATGATCCTGCAGAATGTTATAATAAAACAGAATTAGGCACCTCATTGTCTGTGCATCTGTGTTTGCAAACCAATATCATATTTCATATTCAGATATTAGAATTTTACTCAAATTTTGTGGTTTCCAAACTTTTTCATAATCAGAGACATACACACTGTAAGAAACCATCGATGCCTCAGAATTTCCCTTTGTTCAAGATCTAGAGGCATCACTTTTACTTACAATGAACTGAGTGTCTTGTCTCAACAGAAGTGGAGCCCAAACAGGGCTGCTGGAGACAGGGACATAATAAGCATGCTTGGGAGAACCCAGTGTCTGGACTGGACGATGGGCATGGAGACGCTCCTTCAGCTATACGAGGCTGAGGCCATTTAGCACTTTAAAGGTCAGGGTATAGCACCCTGCTTACACAGAGGGAGTTGCACCAAGTAACTCTTCTTGCTCTCTTTTTTCAAACAAAAATTATTTCCTTTATTCTCTATTTTGACTTGGCATCATTCCTTCTATTTCCAATGTTCAAGCTGTGAGTGCCATTGCTGACATACCTAAAACACCTCCCTCACATGGGTAGTGCTATCATCAGACTCAGCGGGGTGTGGGGAAGTATAGGAAATATTTATATATTTAAAAAACCCTAATGTTGTGGGGCACAAAGAACTGTTCAAAGAGGGCTAAGCATGTTCAGTGGCCCTAGAATGCTGAGTGACTGTTGGGGGCAAATGAAAGGTCATGGGTGGGGAAATAATAGAATGGAACAGGTGGAATCCTGAAAGACTCCATGCTGCAACGTTTTGTTGCAGCCCCCACCTTTCAGTTTTGTAATTAGAAGCCCATTCTCCCAGTTTCTTTGGCACAGGAGATGAAGCAAGCATAGTGGTCCACAAAAACCATTAACAGAACAATTTTTCATTAAATTGGATCCTGTGGAAACTCGGGTACAATTAAAGGATTTTCTTTTTCATCAACTAACCTGATTCTAACTTAAAGAGCAGAGAAGCAGATGTGTGAATAAGTAACCTCATAATGCAAATATAGGGACCCAGAGGGTGTTGTATAACTTTATTGTCAAAC